ACACACACACACACACACACACACACACACACACACACACACACACACACGGGCATACCCCACACCCTATTAAACAGATTTTTTTCCAGTTTTTAATTTTAGTTATACATGATACGTGCTTTCCCTCACATTATTTTATGTGAGTATGTATGATGGAACTCTATTAAATATATTTAAAACAAATTCCTGAAACTCGAAATAAAGAATTACTCACTGGATTTGGTTGGGGTTGTATCAGGACTGGAAGAAGTTTTTGGTCTGGTTGGAACTTGATGTGTTTCCTTAGGAGCTGTAAGAAATTATACTGAGGTTTTTTAAAACTAATATCTCAAACTACAGAGCATACAGAAAAACAGTTCTACAAATATACACACATACACACACACACATATCCAATAAAAATCAGTAATAATTATATAACTGTTTAATAAAACACGGTATTATAAATATGAGCACTGTTATAAAAATACTGATTAAAAAAAGACGCAATTCCAAAAACTAGACTACATTATTAATTCTCTGAACTAGATGCAATGGGGTTTGAGATTTAGACAAGAGAAACCACCTTCCAGGCTCATTTCCATTATTTAAATAAAAACACTGGCGTGGCTAAGTAAAAAAATGTGTTAACACAGCTTTGTGAACTCTTACTCAAGGGAGCTGTTTCATCAAATGACAAGGAAGATAAATAAAAACATTTGAGGTCAAATGAGGTCTATGAGTATCTGACTGGAATTTTCCAAAGTGTTTTTCAGATCTTACATGGTCTTCTGACTGAAAGATATACATGTAGACATAAATACACAGTAAATACAGATATAGTTTTCAGAGAGAACTATACCTGTATTTAAAAAGAATTCTCTTGAGCGAGTGTTCTTCACTCCCAGTCAGTAAAAGTCAGCTTGAAATAGCTAGGCTATTTTCTTCTAGTTGTGTGCACCTGGTTCTGCCACTGTATGTTACTCTTTTTTCTTCTGTTAACAAAAGGTTTCATATGGTTGTACATTCTAATCCAGTGTTTCTCAACCTTGGCAACTTGAAGATGTCATCTTCAAGTTGCCAAGGTTGAGAAACACTGTTCTAATCATTTATACCTGAGGGCACATTACATGTGTGTAATTTCAGCTACTTCATGGGCAACTTCCAAATGCTAACAGTCACAACCACTTGGTGCTTGTATTGCCACCCTACTGTAGCACTGGTCAAGGGCTCACTACTAATCCCTCACTCTAACTTCCTTAACCAACCTTTTTTTTCCCCTGCATGACTTGTCACGGAGCTATTTTTAAATAGAAACATAATGCTTCTTTCAGCAGAGTGTCAGGCCTGAGTTGAAACAGCCTGAGCCACAAATGTGATCCAGAAATGTAACCTATTAGTCAGACAACTTGCCAACCATTATAAACGCCCACCTACACATAACCATACTTATTCACAATATCTTAAGAATAGTAATTGGTATTGGTTTTCTCACTGCATTTGGAAAAATGAGAGTGGAACCAGGGATTCCATAAACACTTCCATAATATGTTTTGCATTGAAACAGTAATAACAGCACCATTTCCAGCCTTGTAAGGCACAGTTTTAGAACAGAATAACAGAGTTGGAAGGGACCTTGGAGGTCTTCTAGTCCAACCCCCTGCTTAGGCAGGAAACTCTATACCACTTCAGACAAATAGTTATCCAACATCTTCTTAAAAACATCCAGTGTTGGAGCATTCACAATTTCTGGAGGCAAGTTGTTCCACTGATTAATTGTTCTAACTGTCTGGAAATTTTTCCTTAGTTCTAAGTTGCTTCTCTCCTTGATTTGTTTCCACCNATATATATATATATATATATATATATATATAGTGAAAATGTATATAGTGAAAATGTATATAAAAATAGAGGGAGGGAGGGAGGAAAAGAGAAAGAGAGAGAGGGATAGAGTGCCAAAAGATCCTGCAAATGAGTCCTGGGATAAACTATACGCAATGTACTAAACTATTTTATGTAAATAATCTCTAAAAGGGAAAAAGGTGGCTGCAATCTAAGAATTACTATATCCAACATTCTGTCCTGTCTGGATTTGTTGTATGCATCCATAAATATATCCTTGCAGTGAAGAAGTTTAATGGTGCACTTTTAGTGAAAGAAACAGTGTGATATAAAATAGCAATTATATATCTACCTGGTTTTGACTGTTGTGTTTTTTCACCAGGATGATTTTTAGGTTTGGATGGATCATGTTTGATATTTAGACCTGAAAAGGAGCAACACACTTGATATGAAATGATGTTCTTGTGTGAGAATTATTTATCATAGTAATTCAAGAAAAAATAATTATAAAAAATAATAGAATTCACAAAAGAATTCACAAGAGAGACCAGAAGAACTAGAAGGAAAACAATGAGATTTGCTGCTTTACTTATAGTTTTAAATTTATTCTTTGGATTAACAGTTTATAGTCTAGATTGCAAATCTTACAACAGAGTATTTTCTTGAAAGAAGGGTGGTGTCACTTTAAATTTATTTGGCTCAAAATCCATTCCTACACTATTTTTTCAAATCTTTGCAAATTCTGAAAGGGTTAATTCTAACAAATGTGGCAGATACTAGCTGGACTACTCTATATTAATAGCAGAGAAAACAATATTTTTTCATCTAAATTTGAGGAGTTTGTCATAGAAACTCCTTTTGCAATGTATCTCAGTGTATGGCAGAGACCATGTCTGCCTGTGCCATAATGGCAGCATTTTTTAATTCATCCTTTCAGTAAATGCATTTTCAGAATTTCAGTTTCTCAGGAAAATGGAAAATAAGAACAGTTACAACTATTCATTCCAAGGGAGATTCTATTTTGCTGTTTGGCAAAAATGCTGGCATTTGCAACTCATTTGGGTCCTGTATCTCGATCCTATGCCTTGATCTAAGATATATATATTTCTTTTATTTTCAAATAATTCTTTTTAGGAAATATGATTTTTTTCAAATAGCTGAAGGTTGAAATGTTTTTTTTTAATAAGCAAATAATCTGAACTTTTCAAATTGACTTGAAAAATCCTTACAGGTCAGTTCCTATTATATTATAAATCTTTAATTTAAAGGGGAAAATGGATATTCCTATTCAAATAGAAAGCATGTATAATAGCTAAATGTGTACTGATTTAAATATATAGAATAAAAGGTTAACTTTACATCTGTTGTACAATGTTCTCATGTTAAAGGTATTCTGAGAATAATCCAAGTTGCAAAAAATGCTCTAAATCAGAAGAAATTGTTTAGGTTAATAGCAAAGACAACCTCCTGGCTATTTTCTAAAACTGGAAATATCTTTTACATGAGAAGTTACAAAAAAGGAAACTTTTTTAATAAGCCAAAAATGTAGTTAAAAAGGAAAAACGTTATTCTGGTTGCTAAGAATGAATTCATCCTTTTCTTTTATACTCTGCTGGCAGGTCTGTCCTATATTTTAACAGATAAGAAAAAGAATAAATAATTGCTATTATTTCTGAGTAAGAAACTATTTTTTACAGAAAAATACTGTAAATGATTTTATAATGTGTGGGTTTTTCCCACTAGTATTTGTATGTTGAAATACAAATCTCTCTCTCTCTCTCTCTCTCTCTCTCTCTCTCTCTCTCTCTCTCTCTC